TCTAGGGGCGAGTATCAACTTGATACCCTGCTCAGTGTTTAACACTTTGGGAATTGGGCAATTAAGACCCACATCTATGAGGTTATAAACGGCGGATCGTACTATGAAGAGACTGTTGGGTTATTGATGATGTGTTGGTCCATGTTGATAAGTTCATCCTTCCAACGGACTTTGTAATTATTGATTGCGAAGTGGACTATGAGGTACCTATTTTCTTGGGTAGACCTTTCCTTGCTATGGGGAAGGCTCTTGTTGATGTGGAAGCCAGTGAGCTCACCTTTCGGGTGGGCGATGAAAATGTGGTTTTCCATGTGCGTAAATCTATGAGGCAACCGAATAGCATTGAAGTTTGTTCATTTGTGGACTTAGTGACCGAGGTAATAGTTGATGATGCTAGTGCAATGATGAATGTTGATGATACTTTGGAAGCCGTATTGCTTAATCATGATGATGATGGGAAGGATGGATATGTGAAATGTGTAAATGCATTACAAGGAATGTGGTTGTATACTTATGAACCCCGAAAATTATCCTTAGATCTTGAGAACCGAAAGACTCCTCCAACATAGCCCTCAATCGAGAAGCCTCCCACTTTGGAGTTAAAGACATTGCCTTCACATCTCAGGTATGAGTTTCTTGGCCCATGTTCTACTTTTCCTATTATTCTTTCCTCTTGCTTAACTAACGTGCATGTAGATTCTACTTTGGCGGTGCTCCAAAAGAGGAAGAAAGTTATAGGATGGATATTGGCGGATATTCGGGGTATAAGCCCCGCCTTTTGCATGCATAAGATCATTTTGGAGGAGGACGCCAAACCCTCTGTTGAACATCAAAGAAGATTAAATGAAGAAATGCAAGAGGTGGTGAAGAAGATCATTAAATGGTTGCATGCCGGGGTTGTCTACCCCATTTCTGATAGCTCGTGGACCTCTCTGGTGCAATGTGTCCCAAAGAAAGGGGGCATGACTGTGGTAACAAATGACAAGAACGAGTTGATCCCACAAGGATGGTCACCGGGTGGAGAGTTTGCATGGACTATAGGAAGCTCAACAAAGTCACTCGGAAATATCATTTTCCACTTCCATTTCTTGATCAAATGCTTGACCGGATGTGCTTTTTATTATTTCCTTGATGGAGACTCCGGCTACAATCAAATTCTTATTGCTCTGGAGGACCAAGAGAAGACTACTTTCACTTGTCCCTATGGTACTTTCGCATTCTCACGGATGCAATTTGGGTTATGCAATGCACTGGCAACTTTTCAACGGTGTATGATGGCCATCTTCACCGATATGGTGGAGGATTTTCTTGAGGTCTTCATGGATGACTTTTCCATGGTGGGGAACTCTTTTGATGAGTGCTTGGACAACTTGGACAAGGTATTGGCAAGATGTGAGGATACAAACTTGGTTTTGAATTGGGAGAAATGTCACTTCATGGTCGAGGAAGGCATAGTCCTCGGCCACAAAATTTCAAAGCATGGTATTGAGGTCGGTAAAGCCAAAATTGAGGTGATTTCCAAACTCCCTCCCCCTATATCCATGAAGGGAGTGAGGAGCTTTTTGGGTCATGCGGGGTTCTATCGCTGATTCATCAAGGACTTTTCTAAGGTGGTAAACCCCTTGTGCAAACTTTTGGAGAAGGATGCCATGTTCTATTTCAACGAAGATTGTATGAAGGCATTCGAATTGCTCAAGTTAAGTTTACTACTACTCATATTATCACCGCACCGGATTGGAGCTTACCTTTTGAGCTCATGTGTGATGCAAGTGATGTAGCGGTTGGAGCGGTGTTAGGGCAACGTATCAACAAAATCTTTCATCTGGTCTACTATGTTAGTAAGACCATGAATGATGCCCAAGTCAACTACACAGTGACCAAAAAGAGCTCATTGCTATTATTTTTGCTATGGAGAAGTCCTGCCCGTACTTGATGGGTACAAAGGTGATTGTTCACACCGACCATGCGGCGCATCGATATTTGATGAGCAAAAAATATTCTAAAGCAAGACTAATGTGGTGGGTGCTTATTTTGCAAGAGTTTGATCTAGAGATTCAAGACAGCAAAGGTAGTGAAAATCAAGTGGCGGACCAGTTGTCTCGCTTGGAGGAGGAGGGTAGGCCACATGATGGCCTTGAGATAAATGATTCATTTCCCGACGAGCAACTCTTAGCCATTTCTATGACCAGGATGCCATGGTTCGTCGACTTAGCAAATTATCTTGTGAGTGGCATTGTACCAAATGAGTTCTCTTCAAACCAAAGGAAGAAGCTCAAACGGGATTGCCTTGACTATTATTGGGATGAGCCTTATCTCTTTCGGATTTGTACCGATGGTGTGATTCGACGATGTGTACCGGAGGAGGAACAAATAGAAATTCTTGAGGCTTGCCACTCTTCTCCATATGGTGGTCACCATGGTGGAGCTAGAACGGCAACAAAAGTGTTGAGTTGTGGATTCTATCGGCCTACTCTTTATAAGGACGCTAACGATCTCGTCAAGCGTTGTGATAAATGTCAAAGAGCCGGTGAGATTTCTAAGAATAATGAGATGCCCCTCACCACCATCTTGGAGATTGAAATTTTTGATGTGTGGGCCATTGATTTCATGGGTCCGTTCGTGAGCTCTTGTGGGAACACTTACATATTGGTAGCTATGGATTATGTGTCAAAATAGGTTGAAGCCGTGGTTTTACCCAACAATGAAGCTCGAAGTGTGGTGGCATTTTTGAAAATGAACATCTTCACGAGATTTGGTACTCCAAGGTCCATTATTAGTGATGGGGGATCGCACTTTTGTAACAAAGATTTTGATACCTTACTCACAAAGTATGGTGTCAATCACAAAGTGTCGACTCCCTATCATCCTCAATCAAGTGGGAAAGTCGAAGTGTCTAACCGGGAGATCGAGAGTATTTTGTCGAAGACTGTGAATGCCAACCGGACGGATTGGTCAAAGAAACTTGATGATGCTCTTTGGTCTTATAGGACGGCTTACAAAACACTGATTGGTATGTCTCCGTATCGGTTAGTGTTCGGGAAAGCTTGTCACCTACCAATGGAACTTGAGCACATGGCTATGTGGGCATTGAAGAAGCTTAATCTTGAATGGGATGTTGCCGCCAACTTAAGGGTGGCACAATTGAATGAGCTTCATGAATTCCGGTTCCATGCATATTCAAGTTCGTCCTTGTACAAGGACAAGGTGAAATACCTCTATGACAAGTACATCCAGAACAAGGAGTTCAATTCTCGATTGCGGATGTTTCCGGGAAAGTTGAAATCCAAGTGGAATGGTCCATTTGAGGTTGTGCATGTGACACCCTTTGGTGCATTAGACTTGAAGAACAAGAATGATGAGGTGTTTAGAGTTAATGGTCACAGGGTGAAATATTATCTTGGTAAAATTGATGATTGCCATGTTGTGGCATTAATTCATTTCAAGTGATTGATGGTAACCTGCGTCGTGCCGCGACGTTAAATCAGGCGCTTCTTGGGAGGTAACCCATGTGTCTTTTTCTTTTTCTATTTCATTAGATAGGCTTTATTTTGTGTTAACTAGTTTTGAAGTGTATGCAGGAATGGATGTGCATTGCAGGGACTATGTCAAAATTTGGCTAAGTGTTGAAAGAGTGCGGACCGCACAATTCTAAAGGCAGCAGCAGAAATCACTCTGCGGCCGCATAATTCTGTGCGCGGTTGCATAACTGGAAGACCAAAATTTCATGTTCTTTGAAGTTGGCCTGTCAAAATTCATAGCCAATCTGCGGCCGCACACAAAATTGTGCGGTCCGCACAAATTCTGCGGTCGCACTCACTTTTATGCGGACTGCAGAGTTGCTTCAAGGTCCATTTAAAGAGTGTGGTCCGCACTCAAAATTGTGCGGCCGCACTCGCCTTAGGTTTGGGGAGACTTGGTCAACCTATAAATAAAACCTCAAGGCACTATTCACAACTTTACCACTCTGAGTTCTTGAACCCTAAGCAAACATAGTGCACGATCAATTATTTCACAATCTTCCTTCATTTCATGAGTGTATATTCTTACCTACATCCTTTATAACTGACAATGGTTAGATCACGTGGTAGAGGCGATACCTCAAAAGGGAGAGGTGAATCCTCCCGAGGCAGAGGAAAAGGCACTCGCCCTCTGCGAGTGCAATCGAAGACAATTGCTAAAGAACCGACCACCGGGAGAGGAAGGGACACAGAACCCTCATAATCGAGTTCCTATGCCCCATCCAGGGAAGCCTCCGAGGGTCATTCATTGGAGGTCCAACCTGAGGCCCAGTCCCAACCATCCCAACCCATTTGCGTTTTCAATTGTGCGACGAACCTACATCTAGTTCTTCTGGAGGTTCTAATGCAGGAAGCCAGGGTTCCGAGCCCTCCTCTATACCTACTCCTCCGTCACCAGTAGCTATTGATGTCGATGATGATGATGTCCCGGATGATGGTAGAGGAGGGGACACTCGAGTGGGTGGCCTTGAGAGGTCAAAAAGAAAGGAAATATGGGAGGATCGTTTCGTCAGCTTCACAGCCTTCAACAGGTTTTGGGAATTGTGGCCCCATAGGTCGCTCACACTTGAGCGATAGTTCTTAGTGAAGGATTTTGATATTCATAATCCAAATGTCCTTAGACAGTTTCACGAGCGCAAGGGGTGGAAGTAGATCAGTCGCAGTGTCAAAGATGCAAATAAGCACTTGGCTAGCTGAGATTCGAAGACATGGAGGCAGTCTAGTACCTAGAGAAGTTGGCTCTGGGTGATGTAGCTCGCCCTTGGCTAGCTGAGATTTTGGCCGCCCGAAGACCATCACCACCATGGATTACAGCAGGAGTTCCTATCCTCCCGGCCACCATAAAATTTGAATCTAAAGGTTGGCAAACCTTTGTATGTAGCCGGATTGATCCGAGTTTGAATGAGAACAACCCCCCACTACCCCGGGCAGTTCTGGTGCCTTCTAATATGGTGGGGGTACCCGATCAATGTGGGTGCCATCATGTCAACCAACATCATATTGGCGGTCCGAAAAAGTGAAAAGTCCTACCCTTATCCAAACACTCTCACAAAGTACTTCAATGATGCCAAGGTGGAGCCGAGGCCATATGACACAAAAGTAAAGGCCAAGAAGCCTTTCTCATGGTACCACCTGCAGGGTGCTGACAACCCAAAGTTCAAGGGTAAGGTCACTACCACCGTTGGCCAGTCTGACGAGCCATCGGTGGTGGGTTCTGAGGCTGCTGCTGAGCCATCTATAGCTCCCATGCCTTCCACAGCAGCCGGGCCTTCCACTGGGTCAGCCAAAGTGCCACCACCTTCATCTTCTAGGCCATCAGTTGCAGTACCAATGCCAGCCTCATCCACTTATCCTCTCACTATGCTGTGAGTCTCCCAGACTTTGGCGAGCCTCAACAACTGGATGTAGATAGCCAATTCTAACCTGTCTGACATATCCAGTACTGTTGCAGCACAGTCCTCTACCCCAGTAGCACCACAGGTCCCTCCGTCAGTGGAGGAAACGTTGAAGAAGATTCTGGACAACCAGAAGACTATTATGGATACACTGGTGGCTTACTAGGGTGCTATTGAGGAGTTGACCAAGCAGGTGAAGAAGATGAGGAAATCCCAGGCTTCAAAGAAAGCAGTGAAGAATTTGAGAAAAGAGGTGAAAAAGATAGTAGCAGCAGGTGATTTTCCTTTTGACCTACTGATGGAGATAGATCCATCAGTACCAGCTGACCCAGCGGCACCATCAGCCAAGACACCAGCTGGCCAGTCTGACGAGCCAGATCCCACTGCTGAGGAGATGCTTCAGATGCTCACCAGCCCTATTGTCCCTCAGCCCGGTGATGATGAGATACAGTTGGAGGAGACTGAGGGTAGTGATGCTGCCAGTCACCCTGAGACCACATAGGAAGTTTCCTTTCCTCTATATCCTCTTTTGTTTTGATTGTACTAAGCATTGAGGACAATGCTCGTTCTTATTCTGGGGGGTGGTCTATTTTGGTTCATTTTGGATGAATGTGATGCATTTTGATGACATTTGATTACTTTTAGGTCTGTAATAACTTTAATACTCTTTTTATTTTATTTTTTATTTTCTCCCTCATTATGTATATATCCATCTCTCAAGTATATATTCTATTCCTCTCGGTTTGTATATTTATTTGCCTTACTTTCAGTAGTTTATTTCATAGCTTCTTCATTTTGTTTTCTTAATAGTATAGCTTCTTAGTTACTTTATTAGCTTCTTTTTTATTTGTTAGCTTCTTTTTCTATTTTAGTGAACAATAAGCCTTTGGTTTTCTTGATACTACGGTTCTTTTCTAAGGTGGGTCTTGTGTGAACCGGGTGACTCTTCTCAACATTGGATGGCGTGACAACCTTTTTAATGGATCGAGTCAGTTTTTGATGATTAGGTAAAAACAAGTAGTATTAATGAATAAATAAGGGTCAAGCATGCTTCACTTGGTACCAACACACTTAACTACGTGCTTATGGTTAAAAATAAGTTTTTGTAAAGAAATAGCCTTAGTTAGTGACCTTGTGACTCTTGTGTTGACTTAGGCAATCATCGGGTAGTTTAGTTGAACCATTAGCGATTTTCAATCTTGAATGTGGTTGTTGTGGGCCCTCGACTCTATTCTCTTTGACAATCCGGTTGTGTGAGAGGTGAGGTATTTTGTTACAAGTCCAAAATTCTAAGTTAGCCTAGCTTGAGAAGTGATTGTAGGCTTTCCTTGACCCGTTTTGAAACCTTCCATGACCCACGAATGATATCATCCTTAGTAAACCCTTTTGAGCCTAAAGCCTTTTTATTCGATAACCACATTACAAGCCTTTACTTGTTTTATAGTAACTCTCTCTTGGCACCCGAACTTTCTTTAGCACTCGTGTGATTCAAATGGCAAAAACATAAGTTTGGGAGAGAGACAAGGGGTTTAAAGATGGTCTCAAGGCACAAAAAGAGAAAAGAAATGAAGAAAAGGAAAGGCAAAGAAAAAGAAAAGAAGAACAAAAGAAAAACACAAAAAGAAAGTGAATAATGTGAAAGGGTTGAAAAGATGCAAAAGAAAGCAAAAGTTCAAAGCATGGGTTTTTAACAAAGAAGGAAAGTATGAATAGCATGACAAAGAAAGAGTGATGTCAAGTCTCTCTAATCCCCCTAAGGGAAAAGAAAATGACTCAAAGAGTTGGCAAAGTAAGAGCCAAAAAGAGAATATGTAGTGCTAAAAGAAAGATGAACCAATTCCATTCTGATATTTCCTTCCTTAGCCCAAAAGCCTTCATTACATGCCGAAAAAGCCCTACGTGATTTCAAGCCGAGCAAACTTACATTAGTGGTGATCTACATAAGGGGCAAGCATATGGTACTTAGAGCCGGGCTTGTGACATTCTTTTGAGAGTGATGAGCGAATCTTTCTCGGGTCATTGAATTGAATTCTTCATTCGTGAGTGAGATGAGCTTCCGGAGAGTATAGGAGGAGGAGTTTGGGATCCACAGTGACCTGCATGAAAGTGCGAGCTTCCTTGATGAACAAAGTCAACCCTTGATGCTCAAGCGTCCATTGTGCTTTAACATTCAAATCATAAGCTTGATAATGATTCATGAGCGTGTGGGTAATTATTGGTCCCAATTGATTTGTGTTTGATTCAACTTAGGCCAGCTGAAATAGCCCTTTTCTAGTGGAGATGGGAAATTGCCTTAATTGCTTGAGGACAAGCAAAAACTTAAGTTTGGGGGAGTTGATAAGTAGGGATTTTGACCGCTTATTTGCTCTCTTTTACTTATGTTTTAGCTCAAAAATGCTTATAGGTATTCCCGAGAACTAATGAAATGTGCTTTCTTGCAGGAATATTGGGAAACGAGCCAAAGAAGTGAAAATCAACTCAAAAGGAGTAAAATTGGACAAGAACCAATACAAGGAAAAAAAGGGCTACAGTGCGGACCGTACAATACTGTGTGCGGCCGCACACTTTGAAGATGCACTGATAGAATTGCTTGAAGATGTGAGGACCACCCTATTATTGTGCGGCTGCAGGATGCCAAAATGCGGCTACACTCATAAATGTGTGATCCGCATAATGAAGCCCAGATCCAATCCAAGAACAAGAGTGCGGCCGCACTCAGAAATGTGCGGTCCGCACAATTAGAAGAAGTGCGGCCGCATCTCACTTTTATGCGACCATAGAAAGTCAACCTGGCCAGTCAATCTCAAAGTGCGGACCGCACACATAATTGTGCGGCCGCACAACCTTCGCAGGGGCAATTTTGTCAGATATTTTTAACTGGGTATAAATAGATCTTTTTGTCATTTTTAGGTTAAGTCTGGTGCACCTGAACACTTAGAGCCGTTTTTATTTACTGTATTGGGTAACTTTGTATTAGTTTAGATTTTAAACATTAGATTTTCTTTCCTTAATCAATTATTATGCATTTTATCTTAGTTTCTTCTTTAATTTCTTTATTTTCCATGAGTAGCTAAACCCTTAGCTAGGGTTGTGATCCAATCCTAGTATGGGTACTTAATGGATGATTGATTTAGGGCTTATTTATGATTGGGTATATGATATTTAGCCTAGTTCTTGCTTGAATTTGAGATTTGATGGTTGCAAACGTTGATTCATGCCTAATTGACTTAGTCTTTACTTGAGAAAGTGAGACTAAGTCTAGGAAAACTTGGCTAACAAGAATTTGGGGTGAACTCAAAAAATTGATAGCCCCAATTAAAAGGTCGAATCTAGAGATAGTAAGACCCGACTTGAGCATTTATCACTTGTTTCGTGAGATACCTATTTGGACTTGAGAAAGTCAAATTGGGCAAAATCACTCAAACTACCGAGAGGTATAGAGTGAGTAATTGAGCATGATTGCTATATTGTATCCCGATCAACCAAACATGCCCTAAAGCTCTAAATCCGTTAGGTAACTAACTAGGCGGAAGTCACAACCCTAAATCTTTTATAACTTGAAAAATAACCAAAACCAAAAACATTGTCTCTTAGCTTTACAATTACAAGCATTAGCGTAAAAGTAGAAGTAGAAACAACAATTAAAAATGTGGAAGTGTAATCTTAGGCACGTCATACATTCACACTAGGTATATACCTAATCCCACATTATGCTCCCTGTGGAATCGACCCCGACTCGCGTTAGTTTTTTATTATTGCATCGACCACCTCACAACCTAAATTAGTGGTGTGAGTTTGGGCGACATCAATCTCCTAAGCTCCTGAGCATAGATATGTCGTATTCCCCCGTTATCTAACTTTTTATCTCAATTCGAACATTAATTTCTTCATAATTTAGCATAAGATTTGGATGATTAGAAGCTACATAAAACTATTATAAATTAAAATCGTTTATAATAAAATATATTTAAAGAATATATGAATAAGTTTTAATTAAAGGTAATTATTTTTAACTTCCCAAATGATAAAATGTCATACTATACTCAAATAGATAACAAACTCACACATTCTGTTTGCTAGTTTTCTTAAAAGGATAAATCACTCTCACACACGAACTTGAACTGCTGAAACAACAGTTTATAGCAGTAATTGATTAGAGAAATCATGTTAAAGATGTTGTTAGCAGCGTTCAATGATCCAAACTGGAAATCCTTCTTTCATCCTTAATGTTGGGAATGAAATCTGAACTGGCTCAACACCTTTCACAACAGGCACCACCTTGAATCTCCTTAAAACATGACAAACCACCATTTTCATCTGCAGAAATGCACTCACTCTTCCCAAGCAAACCCTTAGCCCTGCTTGAAAAACTGGATAGACGAACGAAGGTCTCGGCACAAAGCACCATTCTCCTGTACTGACATCTCTCTCCAACCACCTCTCCGGTCTAAATTTCATATAATCTGAACCCCATAATTCTTGAGACCTTCCCATTGCATAAGCATTGTACATTATACTCATTCCCTTCTTCACGATTGTTCCATCGGGTAAAACATCATCTTGCATTGCATCCATTCCACCACTTGGGACTGGAGGGTAAAGTCTCATGGATTCACATAGTGAAGCATGTGTATACACCATTTTCTTATACATGGAATTATTAGCACTAGTGCTAGTACTACCCCTTGATTCCTCGTGTTTTTCTTCTATTTCTTTGATATTTTCTTCTATTTCGTTGATAATTTGTGTTTCAACATCCGAGTTTTGAGAGAGCAACCAAAAGAACCAAGTCAAAGCAGATGAGATGGTTCCTTGACTTGCAAGAAGGAAGTTGAGAATTTCATCAACAAGAAATTTCTCCCCTAAGTCTTGGTTCTTTGAGCAGAAATCTGCAGAGGAACTATTCTTTTCCTTCTTTTCCATGATAATCTTCTCAATAAACCAACGTACTTGATTGATGGCTAGTTTAAGCTCCCTTTCAGTTCCCTTGTTAAGAAATCGCTTGGCTTTCCATATTACAGGAATTGATAAATACCTGCTGAAGCTGATCTCAAGCGCACGCTCAAAGGCGTCCGCAACTACGGTTTCTGGTAAAGCTGGCGACAGATATTTCAAGTCGAAATCCAAAGCAATTTGAAATGCAAGATCATACATTAATCTGCGGATGATTTTCTGAAAATCAAAAATGGTTTCATTAGCAGCGAAAGCTGAAAGAATGGGGACCATGTTATCAAAGAGCTTTTTTCTAGTAATTGATTCGACAAACTTGTGGTGAGCATTTTGGTTCAGGTAATGGTTCAAAAGGTGTTTTTGGGTTTTCCAGTTCTCGCCATTTGAGACAAAGATACCATCCCCCAATACATTTGTCATGGATTTTGTATAAGCTTTACCTTTCTGGTAGATATCTATACGTGTCTTGAAAATGTGTTGGATGTTTGAAGGATTGGTTGTGAAAATCAAACCGCCGCCAAAGGGCCCATGGAAGTTGATGGTGGTAGAGGGACGTGAGCTTTCAAAGATTTCACACGTCCATTGGAGCAACCTATGCCTATTCTTGATGACATCCTTAAATGGGTATGATTTTGAGTTTGTAGCAGATTGGAAAGAGTTTTGCTTTTGTCTTGACAAGTAGGCGAATATGAGAATACCAAAGAAAGCAAAGAGGTAGAAAAACAAATCAATATAAGCCATGGTTTAAGAGAAGAAGAGAGGAACCCCAATAAACTGTACTTTTTACAAACATATTGAGTGTGTTAATTGAGCGTATATATTATGCACTCTACTGAATTTTTTAGTGTTATCGTAAAGGCCGGCCTAATTCCTACAATTAAGTCAGTATGAATTTAAACTTAAAAATATAGAAAAAGTCAGGCGCTATTGAGTCATTTTCCTTAAACTAATACAGAAAGCGTGTAAAGCTTGAAAGTGGTCACATATTCTAAATCTTTCATAAACTTTACTTAATTCAGATACCAAGTTAAATAAGAAGAAACTGGAAATAGACATACAATACTTCTATATTTTTGATACACTTAATCTGTTTCAGATAACAAGAAAAATAAATAGAAACTGGAAATGGGCATACAATACTTCTAAATCTTTAATACATCAAGAGTCAAGACAAATAAATAGATACTGCAAGATGCTTCACGTAATCATATCTCATATTTATAAACAGATTCTATTAGAAAAATGTATAGTGCAACGCATGATTCACAACAGAAGCAAACTACTTGGAAAAGATTGGGAGATTTGATTGTGATAATGGATATGGGAAAGTCAAACATGAACGTGGTCAGCTATATACCACTCCTTTCTTTCCGGTTTATGTGATATTATTTCATTATTAGCCCGTCTAAAGGAGAATGACACATTTTTGAAAATAAAATGACTTAATTAAACTTCTCATTTAATTTTTAATTAGAAACTTTTATAGTCACAAATGTTGTGATATATTTAAGACCACTAGTTTCAAAAAATTTTTAACTACACAAATATTATGAAGTGCCGCATATTTAATAACACAAGTTTCATAAGTCTTTCATATTTTTTTTTCTTGATAGTTATTCCAGAAGTTCCATTGTACCCAGCACACATCACAAACCTCTTGTTAATCTAGGATTTACATCATCACAAATAGGGGCGGCCCAAGGTCAAGCCACTAAAGCAAAGAATTTAGGCCCCCAAATTTTGAAGGCCTCAAATTTTTTTTTTGTTTTTCTACTCGTATTTGTATTGAGACCCCGACTAATCTAGATTCGTACCGCGTAAGACCTAGTAAAAGAGAGAACACGTTTTAATAGGATTTTTTTAACCATAAGACTCGAACCCAATATATTTAATTAAGGTAAGTTGGATCAAATACATCTCACAACAATCTTTAGAGGCAGGGTCTAAATATATTGGGTATGTTAAAATAAAAAATAAAATATTTTATAAAAATTCAAGATAACTTTTAATTTAGTAGTGATGTAACCGTTTGAGCAAAAAATGCAGAAAGAGAATCACTCCCCCTAAACCCTTGTCGCGAATATAAAACTTTTTATTATTTAAATTTTACGAGTGACATCATTAGTGAGTTAACTATATGAATTTGGTTCTATTATCTAAGATCAACAATATCTTAGGAGAGACTAAATTATTTATAAAAGAAACTATTAACAACTGATGTTAGGCCAAAATTATATACTTTTAGCACATTACTCGCCCTATATTTTGTTGGTTTAAGTGAGTTATTGTGCGACAATTACGCTAAATTGTGTTGTTCTATGTGTAGAAACATCGGAATGAATCATTGATGCTATGATAAATTTTTTTTTTCCTTCTGAAAGGCCCCAAATTAAAAATTGGCTTTAGGCCACCAATCTTCTTGGGCCGCCCCTGATCACAAATCACAGACCTCCGGTGCATGTGTATATGGTATATTGATTGAGTGAGGGATGATATTAGTTAGATGGTGGTTCTCTTGACGGGTGAGCTTGTCAACTACGATCATCACCCGAAAACTGTGTCGTTACATCTCTAGCCTAAAAGACTACTCAAATTTTTGCAACAGAAAATTAAATATTATGCATAAAAAGGAAAGAACATTACTGTTGGCATCTATTCAGAAGGTCTAGATCCCGTTTGGACATTAAAAAAAAATCACTTTTTTCGAAATCAATGTTTGGTCATAAAATTTCAATTTTGACTTGAAGATTTTCAAAAATTTGAAAAATTTCAAAAAGTTATTTTTTAAAATTTTCACTCAAATCACTCACAAAACTTCAAAAACAACCCAAAATAATATTCATGTTCAAACACAACTCTAATTTTCAAATACCATTTTCACTTAAAAAAAAAATTTACCTTTTTTTTGGAATTTTACAATTCTTATGTCCAAACGCCTAGTTGCCGCCAAAAGTTAAAAACATGAAATGAAACTTTATAGCAGCTGGACAGTTAGTAAGGTCATGCACAGCACTCCACAATAAATAACAATAATTTGATACATAATGGATCTGATCATTGTGTAAAACAAATGCATATAAGATCTCAAATCTTATTAGAAAAGAAGTTATCAATAGAGATATTTTCCCTTTCTTATTAAAAAAGAACCAAATAAGTTCCTCAGGGAAGATATTGTAACGATTCGACCGATCGTTTTGAGTATTACAGCCATGTTCCCTCATTTAATGCTCAATTTATGCCTTACAATTGATTTATGACTTATCGGGTTAGTTGGTTCGGATCTGGAAGGATTTCAGAGTGAAATGAGACACTTAGTCTCATAATTGAAAACTTAAGTTGGAAAAGTTGAGCGGATATTTACTTATGTGTAAACGACCTCGGAATTGAATTCTGATGATTCCAATAGCTCTGTATGGTGAATTTAGACTTAGGAGCATGTCCGAATTTTTTTTTTGAGGTCTGTAGTGGAATTTGGCTTGAAATGGCGAAAGTCAAATTTTTAGAAAGTTTGACCGGGGGTTGACTTTTTGATATCGGGGTCGGAATCCAGTTCTGAAAATTATCATAGCTCCGCTATGTCATTTATGACTTGTGTGAAAAATTTGAGGTCAATCGGACGTGATTTGATAGGTTCCGGTGTCGTTTCTAGAAATGGAAGTTTCAAAATTTACTAGGCTTGAATTGAGGTGCGATTTAGGTTTTAGCGTTGTTTAATGTGATTCGAGGCTTCGACTAAGTTCGTATGATATTTTAGGACTTGTTGGTATATTTGATTGAGGTCCCGAGGGGGCTCGGGTGAGTTTCGGGGTGGTTTCGGACTATTTCTAAGCCATTTTTAATTGATGGTTTCTGCCTACAGAGATGTGCATCGCGATCGCGAACATTTGGTCACGTTTGCGAAGAGAAAAGAGCAGTTTGGAACCTTGTGAATCGCGATCGCGGAAGCTCTTTCGCGATCGCGTAGAACAAAGTCTCTGTTGCACTGACTAGAGTTTGGAAGTTTATATCTCGCAATCTATAAGAAATTTGGAGATGATTCAAATATAAAAGTTGTAGCCCTTGATATCTAGTTTTTAAAAATATAAACCATTTGTCATTTGGAGTTGTGTGCAAGAAGTTATGATAGATACACTATAGGCTGTCTGGAAAGAGTTTGAAAATCTCTGTTGTATAGGGCTGACTTTGGAAGCTTATATCTAGCAATCTATAAGGAATTTGGAGATGAAAAACAAATGAAGTCATAGCCCTTGGTGTTTAGTTTTCAGAAAGTTAATCCATTTTGCCATTTAGAGTTTTGTACAAAAAGTTATGGCCATTATACTAGAGGTTGTCTCGAAGAGTTGGGGAGTTTGTTCTTCGCGATCGTGAAGCATTTTCCGCGATAACAAAGAGCAATTTTGTGGCTGAAAATTTTTGTGCTTCACGATCGCAAAGAGTAAATGCCTGCACAGAAGATATATTTTGAGGTTTCGGCCATTTTAAAACATTTGGAGCTATGGAGCTCGGATTGAAGCGATTTTTTATGCGATTTTCACCATATGGATTGAGGTAAGTGAATCTATTATTGTTTTTATCAACAAATTAGTGTTTTGGGTTGAAAAGAGTAGAAAAATTCATAGACTTTAATTGAAAATTTGAAGGCCGATTTGTAGTCGGATTTGAGTAATTTTGGTATGGTTGGACTCATGGTTGAATGGGGGTTCGAATTTTGTGTGTTTTATCGAATTCAGAGATGTGGGCCCCACGGGTGATTTTGGGCCGTAATTTTGGATTTTTAGAAAATATTAGTATTTTGATATGGAATTAATTTCTATAATTTTTGTGAGCTGAATCAAATTAATTGTGACTAGATTCGAGCCGTTTGGAAATTGATACGCGCAGAATAAAATTTCTGGAGCATTACTTAGCTTGCTCAACATTGGATTTGGCTTGTTCGAGGTAAGTAACTCTTCTAATCTTGGAGCTGAGGGTATGAACCTTGAACACATGTATTATGTGAATTGTTGGGAGGTAACGCACATGCTAGGTGACGAGCGTATGGGCGTGCACTATAAAAATTATGACATAATTATTTTCGTGGAATTTTATAGTAAACAAATCTTGGAATTTTCCTTGTATTGTCATATGTTAAAGGAATTTGAGCTGAGAATCATATTGAAAATCATGTTGAGGCTATGTGCCAGTATTATTGGGACCCACAAAGGTCATATTGTTGTGAATTATTTGTTTTAAATTGAAAATTCATACTCAATCATATTCATTTCATTGCATATCATATCTCAGTCTCTGTTGTTATTTATTGATACATCATATCATCATTTTCGGGCTATTTTCATGATATTGTGTGCCCGAGAGACTGGAGAGATTGATGACTGAGTAAGGTCGAGGGCCTGATTGTAAGGATTATTTTGTGGATCGGGGTTGCCCGCCTGCAGCAAGCCTTATAGGCTTTATTATAGCACGTGAGTTGGCCGTGAAACACGTGAGTTGTCCGTGCGGATCCTTATATTATACTATAGCACGTGAGTTGGCCGTGCAGCACGTGAGTTGGCCGTGCGGATCCTTATATTATACTATAGCACGTGAGTTGGCCGTGCAGCACGTGAGTTGGCCGTGCGGATCCTTATATTATACTATAGCACGTGAGTTGGCCGTGCAGCACGTGAGTTGGCCGTGCGGATCCTTATATTATACTATAGCACGTGAGTTGGCCGTGCAGCACGTGAGTTGGCCGTGCGGAT